TTCAATTCCTATCACCCCACTCGCTTTAATATGTTCAGCCGCCACTTCCGAAACCCCTGTCGCCTTACCTAGTTTCATTTCTCTAACTGCTTTCTCTACTTCCTCCATCGTCACCTTCTCTATAGGTCCGTGTGTGACCACGGATTCCACATCTCCATCCCACTCATTCTCTTCATTCATCAACCTTTCCATATGAGCTTTCCACACCTGAGCTTTTTCCTCCTCATCTATGCACAACTTGCCAGATCCATCCCAAACACATCCATTCTCTACAACATCTTTCCATCCCTCATTGACTGCTTTGCTACTTTGAACATTTTCCTCGAACTCACATCAAATTCCATTTCCTTCATTAACCTATCTGATGCTTTCGTCATTGCAGTTGCCACTGCCTGTTTTGCAACCTTCTTAGCCTTCCTATACTCAGACTCCGCTTCCTCCGTCATGTCCCTTCTCCATACCCTAAACCTCTCCTTCTTGACTTCCAAAACCCTTCTTATATCTTCATCCCACCACCACGTCTCACCATGCCTACACTTTCCTTTCGTCCATCCACATACTTTATCTGCCGTAGCCAACACACAGTCCCTGTATCTCTCCCAAACATCTCCATCCTTACCACTCTCCCAATTTTCAGCCACCTTCACTTCAAATGCCTTCCTCACCTCTGCATCCTGCAACTTCCATGTTTTTCTCTTTGCCACAAACTTATCCTTCTTCCTCCTCCCCATTTCTTTTGATGTCACATCCATCACAACCATACTATGCTGCAACATACCAGGTATCGCCTTCACATTCTTCACATACTTCCTATGTTTGGCCCTTACCAATATATAGTCGATCATCGATCTATGTTCCCCTGACCTATAAGTAATCAATCGCGCTGGTTCCCTTGTGAACCAAGTGTTCCCCACCACCATGCTATGTGCATCTGCTAACTCCAACACTCTACGCCCTTCCTCATTCCGTATACCATATCCCCATCCCCCATGTACACCTTCATATCCGTCTGCATCCGCCCCCACATGACCATTCAAATCACCCAACAACACCACAAACTCATTCAACCCCGCTTGCCCAATCTCGTCAGAAACATCATCATAAAACCTATCCTTCTCCTCTTCCTTCCTACTTTGTTGCGGAGCATATCCTGATATCACCCTCACTATTACTTTTCCAAACACCATCACCACCACAATTACCCCATTGCTTCTCCGCCTCACTTCCAACACCTTCTCCACCAACTCTTCTCTTACCATCACACCAACTCTTCCCGTACCATCATCCCTCTTCCACCACAACTTATATCTTCCACCTTTAGCCCCCACAAACCTTGTACCCTCACCCTTCCATCTGATCTCCTGTAATGCAGCCACGTCAACCATTCTCCTCTGCAGCTCCTCCACCACTTCCAAACTTCTTCCTGTCAACGTGCCTACATGCCTAGCCTTTGATGATCCAACATCACTCACAAGGCAGTGAGGGTCAGTTTAATGTCATAACCAGGACATTAGTTATAGAAACATGTGTTACAATACTAAATTACATTTTTAACTATATTTCTCATCTAAAAAAAGAAATATAGTTAAAAATGTAATTTAGTATTGTAACACATGTTTCTATAACTATAACCAAAATTATAAATGATTGTTAA